ACGTGGGTCTATCAGCTGAAGGTTTGTTGAGCTTGTGTAACTGTGTGGAAGTGACCTGTGTGTTTCCTCATGTTGTTGTTAGCATTATTATTAGCATTATTACTATCTAAAGTTGGAGCACTAAATCTGAATAATGGTCTGACTTGCTTCTGCAAAAACAGAACTTGAGATTAAGTCAGCAGGATGTAATATTTCACACTGATTTGAAGAGTATTAGTAAGCTTACAACCATGCTACCATCTAACAAGTCATCACATGCTCTCTTAACCCATGGAGCAAATATAATATCCCTTAAAATTATCATATCCAGTATCTTTTTTATCTCAATATCCCTACAGGCAACCCAAATCAATCATGACACATTTACTGTCACATTTAATTAGTCTGAGATAAATTATGTGTATCATGATTACTGTTACTCCTGGCAACAAACAGCCAGTCAGCAGGCTGAGTGAGGTCATGCGGAAACTATCCCAGAAGTGTTAGCACATGACACACCCACCCAACTGTGTCCTGTATACACGGGTTACCATGGATACTTTGTTCAAGGGCTGTATCTGATGGAAATCAAAGCCGTGAGGGAACCACAAGCAGAGCGGGTGAGTGTTGTCAATGGACAGGAGAGTTTCTGCAGCAAGGTACCATAAGAGAAAGTGTAGATTAGTGGAAACTACCCTTTGACCAGATGGGCCTGCATTTAGATATAGAGATAGGTATAATGAGCATATTTATAATCAAACCCATAGTTTTGTAGATCACAGACATACTGTTATACCATGTGGTACAGTGAACATCTGTCTTCAAGCAAGCATGGAAAAAATCAAGACACATTATCCAAGTATAGTCACTCACTCAGAGCTGCCACCTTTGTGTGAAAATCTAACCTTGTCACTTGGGCGGACGTGGGGAGATGAGGATCGCAGTCTCTCCCATACAAAGTAATAGCACAGAGCTAGGAAGTCACTCCATGATGTTCAGATCCTCATGCAGAAGTTCAAGTCCCTTTTCCCTCGGGGACCTTGACATGTGGGACACCAAATCTCGCTTTTCAGCCCAGGTAAGAACCCAATATACTTTCTTTTCTAAAAGTAGAACCGTTTATTCAAATTCAAATATGTGTGTTTCTCTCTCAGACCTCAGCGTGGTATGGTTCGGCAACTGTCTCTGGATCTGGGTTTCTATCCAAAGTCAGCACAAAGTGAGGACAAGACAGCGTTTAAGCAACAGAGACACAGTTATACTCATTTTTAAGTCAGGGTGGCTGAAATACTGTATCTGTTCCAGCTCAACAGGCAGCAGTGGTGGCTTCAGACAGAATGACCCAGGTTTAAGGAAGTGGCAGTCCTTGTCCCATTTGGTGCCTGAAGGTGCAACACGGCCCTTTCCTCCATCGCCGGGAGCTGAATTACAAGCTGCCCGAGGGGAAAGTAGCTTTAGACAAACAGAGGTGGCACAATGGCTGCAGGATGCTCAAGAACGGATCGACACTCGGTTGGACCGGCTGAGGGCCAGAGATGCACAACTAAGCTACAACATGACTTCTTTGATCGACATGACACAGAAGGTAAGTAAAACGGTGTTTACACTGTTTCTGCCTTCAGTGGATGTTTGATATTTGCTGCAGTTGCACACAACATCCGTTTACCTCGTTCTAATGTGTGACACAGCAGATGTCAGAAGGACTGAGCCCTCTTGAGCAGGAGAGGGAGGCAGCTGAATTATCCTGGTTTCACAAGAACCCCCAGCACAGAGAGCTCCATGAAAAGTGAGTGAGGTTAAAGACGTGGAGGAGGTACATGTGAGACGCTGTAAGAAAAGACTGACATTCCTCATGTGAAATTCACTTCACAAGGATCCTGAAGCTGGAGAAGGACCTGCTGATAATGAGGTCTGCTTTGGACAGCACTGATCAACCAACTGAGAAAAAACCTGATTCACTCAGCAGAACCTTACCAGTGAGGGAAGAAGAGTTAAACAGACAGGTGTGTTAGCTTTCTGTACTGTGAAAATAGATTTGTGTAGTAAATAGTGGATTATTCTGTGTATTGTGATTGTTATCCTGCTTTATTTGTGTTAAGGAGAAGCAGAGGGTTGACACTGAGCTGTGCAGGCTGAGGGAGGCTCTGAAAGAGGCTGAGACAAGAGCGAAAACACAAGAAGAACAACAAAACCAGGCCCTGCAGCAACTCCAGACTTCAACTGAGGTCAGTTTATGAAGATGTAAAGAGTCAGAGAAGTGAATACCTCCGCCAGGGCCCAGCAGTGACCTTATGCCCCAGATATTTTTGGGATGTGCACCAAATTGCACACACTCATAAATATCAGTCCCCTAAACATGTCTGATATTTTCATTGAGAGAATTGTTACCTCTGCCAGAGGGGTTATGTTTTTGTCTATGTTATATATATACTGTATTTTTCTACTGACTGTTTTTTGTTCATGTCTGCCTTTAGACACAGAAGGCACTGTTGAATCAAATCGACAAGATGAATCAGAGGCTCAGCCACACGGTGTCAAATCACTCCGAGGTGCAAGAGCAGCTCAGTGAAGCCAACAACAAAATCAGCCAAGCATGCCTGGTCAGTTATGTGTCTAATCACTCCTAACTTATACATCACGTTAAACATTTACAGAAACAGTGACACATTCAAAAACATCTTTATAACTCTGCTCAGGAAAAAGCCATCTTGTCAACTCAAGTGTTAAAGCTGGAGGATGTTGTAAAACAGCTGAAGGCCAAACTGACAGGGGCTCTGTCTGACAAAGATCACCTGACCCAGGTATAAAAAATCTCCACAGGGCCTTAACATCTGAGACATCGAAGACCAAAATGTGCTGTTATGGTTGACCAGGTTTTCTTGGCGTGATGCTTTAACAGGAGAGAGCAGATCTGCACCAGAGGGCCCAGGTCCTGGAGACGACACAACCAGGTTCTGAGGTCTGTGAGATCCATGAGCATGTGGCTGCTGCAGAGTCTCACACCAACAAACAGGATCAGGAGACGATTCTGATGAAGGAAAAATCAACGGCCCTCATAGAGGTTACAACCTTTGAGTGATTGTCTTTTTGTCAAGTACATTTCTTTCTGAATTCTTTATTGAATCATTGCCAATGTTTCATTACACAAGGTAAATGAAAAGCTGACATATGAGCTCAAGATGATGGAGCAGAAGCTGGACACATCACGGTCTCAGCTGCAGGAGCTGACAGCAGAGAGGGTCGCCAACACCAAACTGATCAAAGATCTCGAGGCAGAGCGCTCTGAGCTGATGAGACAAAAAGAAGAGCTGCTGACTAAAATGAATGATGGCGGACATGAGATGAAGGAAAAGTGCTGCCAGCTCAGGTGAGACGTTAAACACTCACTCCTCTTCAGTAAAATGAAGATGCGGTTATCCTCTCCACACTAAAACCTGCTTATTAATGCAGGGAATTTGTGGAGGTTTTGGAATTAGAAAAACAGAAGCTGCAGGATCAGTGTCTGTGTTTGGAGGCTGAGGTCTTAGAGAACAAGGAGAAGGTACAGCTGCTGGAAGAGGTGCATCAGGAACAAGATGCGGCGAGAGTCAGAAACATCGAGGAACTTAAAGCTGTGACCTCACACTGGACTGAGAAATGGCAAAAGGTGGCTTTGACCCTGCAGTTCACACAAGAGGAGCTGGAGGAACTCAAGCAGAACAACTCCAGAAATCAAGTAAGACTCTTTCTTTACTGCTCTCTTAAACATCCATTTTAAAACATGTAAAAACATTCTTTTTTTTTAATTGAAAAAGCCAGAATATATACTTGACTGAAAAGTCCATTCCGTTTGTATAAACACTGGAGACTTCAAGTTTATACATTACACTTGTTTGCGTTGCATCTGTATTGGTCCAATATGAAAGCAAATTATTATTGATGTGATCAAAATTTCGGATGTTTCAAAAAGATGCTTGTATATGTCCACATGTTAAACTCAGATTTGCAGTGAGGACATAGAAAGTCCAGCAGCTGAATGTGAAAATCTGTTATTTTGTGTTATGCTAACAGACAAACGAGCAGCAATAAAAAAATAACTTCCTTGGCGGAGGTCATTACATCTTTATTGGATTATACATATTTTCCTACCTGAGAAGAAACAAATATGCTGAAGTACAATGTTAGTATGGAGACGCTGCTGACCCAAAACATGGCAGTATAACCCTGAAAAGCTTGTGCCTGATCTCCATTAGTGTTGGGACACTGAGATGCTCTAAGTAAGAAGCCATTCATATTTGGTAGATATGAATGGGCTATATAATATTACGCTTAACTCTTACAGAGGGAATCTGTCGCACTGCTGAGGATTGAGCTTGACGCATGTAAACAGGAGCTGGAGCTGGAAAGGAGCAGGAGTCGGGCGCTGCTTCACAGATATAAAGACGGTCTTATGGGTGAATGAAAATGCAAATATTCTCGACCAAATACTGTTTTGAGTGATGCACTCACACAACTCTGATCCAGAACTGCTTGTATTTACAGGTGGTGAAGCCGTGCAGACTCAGGACAAAGAGACAGTGACAGAGTGAGTGGATTTTTATCCACTTTCATTTTCAAAATCTATTGTCAGCAGTGGCTGAAAATTAAACTCTCTGATCTGTGTCTTTATCTCGTACTCTGTGTATCAGCTTATCTGAATCCTCTTTATTACCGGAGCCGCCATCAGACTCCCACAGCAGCCAAAACAAATCCCCTCAGGTAACAACACATTTCCGCACCTCAGCAAATTAATTTTTCAACATTCAATAAATAGGATTTAAGTATGCAGAGAGGATGAAATCATGAACATCATACATTGATGTATTTTACATGTAAGCCAGGTGGGAGACACAGGGAAAACTGAGGTCAAGGTTTCTACTTCACAGCTGATTCTACAGTGACTTCAGTCTGATCAATCTATGAGTCAAGTACACACATCTATGTTTAATCACCTGAGAACCAGCAGAGAGTCCCAGGCTACATTTCGTCTCTATTTAACATCACTGTTTTTCATGAAACCCCATGGAGAAGGCCTCCGAAGACAGTCAAGATGATGAGGACCAAGCAAAAGTATCAACCACTGACTCGCTGCGGACTCATCAAGAAGGTGAGTCTGCTTTTGAAAACATGTCTGATGATGCTGGATTAATCTTCCTCACTGGTTCAGCTCCAAACCTTCTTCTTCCATGTTTTCAGAGAGCGGGAGGATGGTGAATCAGCAGCAGGAGAAAATGTTGGCAATCCAGAAGCTTCAAACACTAAAGCAGCTTTACCCGGTAAAGAGACAGGAAACAGGAAACCCTCAAAGATGGCTTCCTGCGTGTGCTGGTGATGAATATGAAAAACCACTGATACCTAATCAGCAGGTGAAAGATGAGAAACCACCTGTGGAAGGCAGGAAGGATGGATCTGTCTGTCCAGTTAATCTGGAGACAGTCCAGCAGAACAGAATGGTCACTGAGCAGGTATATATATATG